GGGGGGGAATAAGAAGAGGGGAGGGAGGGATAAGAAGAGGGGAGGGAGGGAATAAAAAGAGGGGAGGAGGGAATAAGAAGAGGGGAGGGGGGAATAAGAAGAGGGGAGGAGAATAAGAAGAGGGGAGGGGGGAATAAGATGGGGGGGAATAAAAAGAGGGGGGGAATAAGAAGAGGGGAGGGAGGGGAATAAGAAGAGGGGAGGGAGGGGAATAAGAAGAGGGGAGGGGGGAATAAGAAGAAGGGGCAGCTCTATAGGACAGGGGCCAAGACAGGGAGCTCTTTCACACTACGCGCGCACACACACACATGCATCCCTATACATACACAGAAACACAACATGCTTCCCTTACACACAGAGAAACACACAATGCATCCATTACACACACACACACAATGCAACCCTTACACACAAAGACAATGCATCCTTTGCACACATACACAGAAACAGACAATGCAAACCCGCACACACGCATGCAAACACACACACTTCTTTTCTTACATACACACAGAAACACAATGCATCTCATGCACACACATACAGACACACACCTTGCATCCCTTATGCATACAAACACAGATTCACACAATCAGAAACACATAATACATCCTTTATACACAAATACACACTGCTTCCACTACACACAAACACACTGCATCACCTGCACAAACTGGTAACCCTAAACACTACATACCATAAGCACACATATTAGATCCTCTACAATAACACATAACACATCCCCTACACACTCCACTCCCTGTGAGCGAACTCATGGGTGGGTGGAACTTATGAGTGGGCCTTATGGGCATACTCACCGTCAGGCCCTGGGGCCCAGACCTTGAGCTGTGTAAGGGGCCCCCAAAAAATGGAGCTGCTTCCAATTCTCCCAGAACATTGAATTTTGTGACCACAGTTGCAAACAGCCTCCAGAGATCCTGTTCTACACCAGACCAGTGGAGCCAAACTGCAGCCCATCATCATCCTCATCTGCTTGTAAGTAGGCAATCTAGTATATTATTAGTGACACTAATCTATAATTTACCTCACATTAAAGGGACACTATAGCTTAATGAAGTGGTTCTGGTGTCTATAGCTGGTCCCTGCAGGCTTTTTAATGTAAACACACACTGTGTGCAGCACTGGCGCTAGTTCATATGGCAGATCATATGGGTGGGGCATTGTGATGTGACATGTGGGGGCAGCAAATTTTTATTTTGTCTAGGGCGGCAAAAATCCTTGCACCGGCTCTGATCCTGGGCAAGTGCACCAGTCTACTTGACTGGTTTTGCCCCCCAGGCCTAAGGCTGCCAGCCCTCCCCTGGCCTTTTGGCGGCCGCTGGCGGACTTGTCCTGGCGGCCGCTGAGGGAGCTGCGCGAGCTGCGCTGGCTCTGCTCCCCAGCACGCAGCTGAATGAGACCGGCGCCGGAATATGACGTCATATTCCGGCGCCAGTCTCATTCAGCAGCGCGCGAGGGCTGGAGGGCACTAACACAGGAAGCACCTCTAGTGACCGTCTGAGTGACTGTCACTAGCAGTGTCACTTTGAAGCAATGTAAACACTGCCTTTTGTCTGAAAAGTCAGTGTTTACGTTGAAAAGCCTGTAGGGACATGCTATAGACACCAGTACCACCACATTAAGCTGTGTGTGTGCATCTGCTAGTGAGTGAGCTTGCTTGCATGCATGTGTGTGCCTGCTAGTGAGTGAGCTTGTGTTTTTATGTCAATGAGCTGATGTATATCAGTAAGATTGTTTGTCTATGAGGCTGTGTATCAATGAGCTTGTGTGTGTCACTGAAATGTCAGTGAAATTGCCTGTGTCTGCATGTGAGTATGCTTACTGTATAATTAAACGTTTTACCCTGAAAGGACCAATATTTTATATTAGAAAAAGCAATATATATATATATATATATATATATATATATATATATTACTCAATCATCTGTCCTGGCAAGACATAGCCTTACATATTACACGCGACAATATATGGCGCAGTGACTTATGGGGCTGGCACAAATTTTTTTTCCAGGGCTGCTTTGTATCCCCAGTCCGGCCCTGTATGAAAAGTACAGACTGAACATACTGTAATTCAATATTATGAGGATAGACACACAAAGTAGTAAAGAATACTCACAGGAGAGTAAATGATATCTGGCACATCATCCTTAGATGGAATATGAGGGATGAGATGGCTGTGAAAAATGACAATGGTATTCTTGCACTAAAACAAAAAAAGCCAAATCGTGCAGATGGAAATTATAACCGCAAACATTTATTAAAGTTGCACTCACAAGACAAAAGTTCTCAAGAGCATGTCTCCACCTCCAGTGAACCTGGATACAGTTGTGATGGTGATCCACAGTACTGGAACCATAAAAAGGGGAGGGGGAGGGGGGGATAAACAAATTGCAAAATTAAAGTTTCCAGAAAGGTAGGTATCCAACGTGTTTTGTCCTGTGGACTTCTTCAGGTATATCTGTCCTTTCCCTCTTGATCCTCCTTT